GGGTTTGTAAGATTGGTTCTGCAGGCTTTTCTATTTACTGGTGCGCGCTTCTTCGCCCCAGCGGTATAAACGCGCCGCGCCGTGGAGTTTATGCTGCACAGCAGCACAGCAGAACAGAGGAGAGCACAGCACGCACGGAGTACCTCTCTCTTGGCTTGGCCATGGCTGCGTTGCGGAAGGTGGCTGTGGGAAGTGCAGGAGCCCTGGGTCTAGCGACTGTCGGCACTGCCTTTGTGTAAGTATGCAGATGTTTGCGCGCATAGCTGTGATTGCCCACTGCCCACTGCCCACTGCCGGGTGCGACAGGACTCCCCAGCCGTACGAGCCGGAACAAAGCACTTGTGGAGGCATGTCCCTTGAGCGTCGCCGACGTAGTAGCAACGGATCAGATTGTGGGTGATGTTGCATGCATGCTTGAACCTCTAGTCCTCTCTTGTCTCTCGTAGCTAGTGGCACCGCCGGCAATGGGAGCGCCAACATGCGTCTCCGGCGTGTAATTCATTTCGCGGGATCTTTCCCCACGAGTGTAGCGCGCCGTCTGTTGCCCTTGCTCGACTCTGTCTGGCACCCGCCCCCTCGTATGCAGGGTGACCGCTATCTGTGAGTTCATGGGCAACAGTCATTTGCTAGAGGCCCTGTAGTTTTCGTTCGGAAGCACTCGGGCATACCGCACTGTGTACATGTCTAGAAGTGATGCATGAAACCAAATTTTCAAACCAACCAACGAAGGAGTGAGTGCCTACATATGTAGACTGCTCCACACATGTTCGCTCTTACTTGCGTTTGGCCCGTGTGGTCGGTTTTGTACGTCTCTGCCGTCATTTTCACTAGAGATGTGCGATACAGCTTGGATATATTGACTTTCTTGGCGTACTCTCCTTGCCGCAGTAGCGCAGCACAAGGTTTTAGTATTCGGCACCGTCCCGCGGGCGGGACAGAATAGTCGCAAGTCGACGAGCACACTCGAGTTGGCACGCGAGGGCGTATCCTATTCGCAACGACGTACATCACCGTGTATGTCCGCCGTACTCACAGCAATGCTCTATATAGAGTGTGACCTTACATTAAGAAGAAAATAAAATACACATCCGAAGCTCTGATCTCGGGCTTGCCGTAACGCCGTCTTGTCGTCGGCGTTTGCCGCTCGCTGGATGCATGGATGGATGATGCGATGCCCTCCCTCTGAAGGTATCGGCCGAACCCATGGTCCAATCCGCCGAGTGACCCGCTGAGCGAGCGCGCGGGCCAGGAGGAAGAGAGCTTCCTCATGAAGACCTCTAGGCTCTTCACGTTCGTCACGGGCACGGCCGCCTTTTCGATCCTGATGCATGTCCTGAACACGTGAGTCGCCGGCCCTCTGGTCACAGCACCAACACCGCCACCGCCATCACCTCAGAGCTATATTTGGCGCTTTCCTGTCGCTGTCGACGAGGCGTTTGGCTCCCACTTTCCCCTTGCAGAGGACCTATGGCGTTTCAGCTGCGCACGGTTCTTTTTCTCATGGCGCGCTCCCTTTCCTCTGCGTTGTCGTAGCCGCGTAGCGTTTCAACCATGCATGGTTCTTTTTCTCATGGCACGCCGCCTTCCCCCTGCGTTGTCGTAGCCGAAGCCTCGGAATTATACGACCCTTCAACCCTTCATTTCTGTCCAAGTTCGAGGAGGGGAGGACCACAAAGCCCCCACCCCACATCAAGCCACCCCGACAGTTCTACTCTCCCTGGGTCGCTGTAACCATCTGCCCCCTGCCCCCCCCGCCGCCGCCCCATCGTCAATCAACAAAATTATAACTAGCTTCGAGCTGAAAGAAGACGAGCACTACAGGAAGTTCCTCAGCCTGGTGGAGGAGAGGCCAAGCGGGGTGCCCCTCCTCACGGTGTGCAATCACTGCTCACCGGTAGACGACCCTGGCGTGCTCGTGGGCATGCTCCCGGCCAGGGTGACGGTGAGGCCGGAGCTGATGCGCTGGACCATCTGCGCGCAGGAGATTTGCTTCAAGTGGACCGCCGCGGGGACGGGGTTCGGCTCGGCGAAGGTGAGGGAAGAGAGGCAGAGAGTGGAGGGGAGACGGAGAGTGGGAGGGAGAGATGCACACAGAAATGTAAGTAGAAGAGAGAGAGGGAGAGAGAGAGAGAGAGAGAGGAAGAAAGTGCGAGAGGAAAGGAGAGCAGAGGGCGAAACAAAGATTTTTCGAAGTGAGAGACAGGTTACCGCAGAGAGGGAGAGGGAGAGGGAGAGACAATGCCCCACTCAAAGGTACTCCCAAACTCCTTTGTCCCACTGTCGAAGTGTTTTGTACGTCACCTTCATTGTTTCAGATTTCTTCGCTGCTGCCAACTTCGAGATTCGAGGCTCACAAATCCAATGTACGCCTGTGTGCGTGCGCCTGCCCTGTGCTTTTGTGCCTGTGTCCGTACGTGTTGATTTTTTTTTCTCCGTGTCGGAAGAATGCGCCTGGCGGCGTAATTTGCTTACACGACAGCTGTTTTTCGGCACGTGCGAGTATGGCATAGGCTTGTGCTTGATTGTCCACGACAAATAGTTCCAAGGGCCTAAGTGATCGAACGCCGTAGATTCGGAACAAGCACACGGGTCGTATGAATCTACTAGACTTGTAATTTGGTCTCGTCCCCCGTGTTGCCCCCACCCATCCTTCAACCCTCTCGCCGTCCATTCTCCATCATGTGGCCCCAGACATCGACCACAAGCTCGCTCATCCCCCGGAGTCGTTCTAGAACCTCTTGATTTTCTTCCACGGACGGGAAAAGACAAAAAGTAACACTAACACTGTTAGGCTCTCGCGTGACCCTCTGTATGCGCGTTTTTCGTGTCCTGACGGAGCTACTTTTGAACAGATTAAAAAAAAAAAAAACTCACAGACCAATGAAATATCATCTATTTGAAAACTTTCAGACCAACAGACCGCCAACACCTGTGTCGGAGCGTGATTTTTTTTGAAAATATTTGCGTGAGGTTTTGGGATGCACAACAGCAGGAGAGTCGCCATAAAGTGTGTGTGTGGTGCGCTGCTGCGCCCAGCTCTACGGGGACCACGACCGTGCGGACCGTCGTCTCGAAATGGCTGACGACGCCGCTGAGGCTCAGGCCCAACCCACTAATTCTTCTCCTGCACCAACTGATGATGCCCGGAGCGAGGACAGCCGTAATGTGATTTTCGCAAAGCGCGTCGGTTGCCTACTGCAGACGGTCCTGCTCCTTCTTCTCCAAAGCCAGACGAGCGATCTGCTCCGTCAAGAGCTGGACCCGCCGGCGCTCCTCCTCCAGCTTCTCCGCCGCCGCACGCTTCTCCTCCTCCGCCCTCACCCTGCTCGCGCGTTCGGCTTCCGCCGCAGCGGTTGCCAAGTCTCCCAGCCGCTGCTGCTCCTCCGCAACTTTTTTCGCCTCCTCCGCTGCTTTTTCCGCACTACGTTTGGCTGCCATCGCCTTGTTTTTACTTTCACGCGCTTTGGCCGCGGCTGCGTGCGCGACGTCGCGGCTGCGGCTCAGCGCGGCAACGTCCCCGCGTTGAACGACGCTGTCGTACCGCTGCTGAGACGCCCTCTGTATCAAGTCCTTCCCATTTTCAGCTACCAAAGTCGCCTGCTGCGAGCGATATTTTTGTTTTTTTCTCCGCTGTGAAAGCCCTTTGTTTTTGGTTCGTTGGTTACCCATCGGTACTCGATCTTGCAAGACGGGCTGTGTGGCGTAGGAGTGGTGAATTGTGGTGAGGTTTGTTGTGCGACCTTCGCAGAAACAGGAGCTGTGGTTTTGTCTGTTGGGGTTTTCGCAATCTCCACGCACGTACGTGGGAGCCGGTGGAAAGCACCGAAAATCACATGTTTTTAGGGTCTTTGGCGCCTTTTTGATGTCAGTTCGCAAAACTGACAGATAAACCCCTGCATATGACCTGTCAGCAGGTCTTCTTCGAGTAGCAAGAGCCAATTCGTATGTGGGTGCGAGTAATACGTGTTGCAAGTTTGTCCTTTGATATCAAGTCAAATTGTGATTTGGCGGCGTCAGCAGGTTTGTCGGTTCAACTTTTTTTGGAAGAATCGCTCGCACATACAACCAACAGACCACCCGCACATACACGGTTTTTGGAGGGTCACGCGAGAGCCCAACTGTACACGCCTCGAACGAGTCGCCGCCCACTGTCCGCGTACCACGCTGTGTGAATGAAAATGATCAGGTGATGCCGATCGCGAGGGGTAGCGGGATAGACCAGCGCTTGCTGCTGAACTTCTACCGCCGATTGCTGGGAGGAGGCTGGTGCCACATCTTTCCGGGTGTGTGTTGTATGGTGGAACACGAGGTCTTGGCGCCGCGCGTGGTAAAAAGGCGACACCTTCGTTTGTTTGTTTTGTTCTTCGTTTTTTTTTTTGTTTCTTTTTCGTGCAAAATCTCTCCGGCCGGTTGGTGACTCGTAGCTCTAACATTTCACTCTCTGGTCTCAGTTGTATTGCGTGCGTATTATCCACCGCCCCTGATGTTCAGTCTCTCCTTACCCTCTATGTGGTGGACGATTTGATTGGATGCACGAGGGACAACACGATGACGTCCTTCTCAGATGAGCGAGTAGCGGCAGCTTGGCCACGCCACCACCGCCACCACCATCACCACCCACCACAACAACCATTGGGCAGCGTTTTAGCACCCACCCCTGACGTGTTTCACTTCTTGTGCCCCCTCGCCTCGTGCTCTGCCCCC